TTTTTGTATTTTTTTTCTTTACCTTTTCTTTTTCTAATTGTTCACAACGACGTGATGTTTCTTCAAGTACAATTTGTACATGTTCTAATTGATGTGTAGCTATACGAATACGTTCACATACATTATCATATTTTATTTTTAAAGATTTATAATCATTTTCAAATTCATCTGCACGTCGTCGTTCTTTTTCCAAATCAACATTTAAATTTGGCTCAATCTATATTTATTAATAAATATATTAATTAAAACAAATAAAATTTTAAACAAAAAAAAATAATTTGTTCTTGACAGAAAATAAATCATGGCTATATATATATGTACGATAAAATTTTCTCATTATGATATGAATAATAACATACAATTTCCATAATGTGAGTAACATAAATGATACTATGATAAACAATATTGACTAATTAGATAAAAAAAAACAATTTTACATAACAACAACAGTATTTGATATAACATCTTGTCGATATTTTTTATATTAATAACTTATGACATTAAATCATGTCAACACGAACTGATTTACCGTTGATTAAAAACAAAAAAGAACGTGCAATTAATTAATTGTTAGAAAGACGAAAATAGAAACTGAGCACTTTTGAAGAGTTCTAATGGTACTCAAATTTGAGACGTTTTGCTTTAGGAATGTTTTCATTTTTTGTTTATTAAATAATATTAAGTCGGTATTCATTGTAATGAATTGTGAGAGTGATTTCACGTATGTCGGCAGCATTCAATATGATGGCGTCTTGCGCCATCGGCACTTTCAGGAGTTTTTTTTCTTTTATTACAATATGTGAACCACTTATGATAAGAACTTTTTAGCAATAACATTTCCGATCGAAATGATTACCTTGACTTATTTTTTTTACTTTAAATTTGATAAAAGAAATCTGTTAATGTAATCTTTGAACCGGGACTTCAAACTGGTCCCGTAATGTTTTCTGTTCCAGAACTAGACTACCTATTTCCATATTTATTATTCTGTTCTGACTAATGATCTACAAATAGGCCTTTTTTATTTATTTATGCCCAGGTCGAGAAGTACGAGTGGGTTCCGGCAGAAAAGCACTGGAAGTTATTGGAACACGGTGGCAGTATTCCGGCTGGACACTTTTTGGATTTTTTCGGTGACTTCCGATCAAATTCCTCCCGTTTTCTTCAGGAAGTTGTCCGGAAAAAATCGAAAACTTTTCCGGCCGGAATACTGCCACCCTGTTCCGGCGACTTTCAGTGTTTTCGTGCAGGATACGGTGAATTTTCCCGCATCTTTCCTACAGGATCCGGTGACCGGAATCTTCGACCTAGGATTGTTAATTTCTCAAAATCATCAATATTCATTATATATATATTCAAAAAATCATACAGATTATAAGAAAAGTCGTTTTTTTTTCTAGAAACAATAAAAAGTTTTAAATTGAAACCAGGACCAAAAAAGGAAAAGATGATCCCACCGATACCTAGTTGTTAATCATCGATTGATTGTTTTATTCGATCTATTTTAGGATATATTTTTACTTAGTTTCTATACAAATATAATAAGATATTTAAGTATTAAGAAAATTAATAATATTCATAAGTTAATATTTACTTTTTCTTTTTCATGTAATTGTTTTTGTGCATTATTTAATTCATATTTAAGTGTATTTGTATGTTCAATTAATTCATTATAACGTTCACGTAAACGTAATAATTCAAATTCAAGTTCAATATTTTTATTCTAATATAAAATATATTTATATAAAAAAATTTATTAAAAGAAATTTATTCATCATACGTCAATATTTGATTTTCATTTGTTAATTTCATAAGATTTTGTTTATTAATATCATCTAATCGTTGACTACATGTTAGAATATGTTTATGTAATACATCACATTTTAATTTAAGATTTTCCATATGACCTTTAATTCCTTCATCTGAATTATCAAACTAAAAAATTATGAATATTTTAAATATCAATCCAAAAAAAAACGAATGCAATTATACTGTTTGTTCAAATTGAATAGTTTTTTTCTCTGTAATTTCAAGTTCTTGACGAACAAGATCAATTTCACGTTCAAGTGAACGTTGTTGAATAATAGAAAATAATTTTGTTTGCTCAATATCTGATATATTTTGTGATTTTTCCATCTAATATTATTTAAATTAAATTTTACTTTTTTTTTGTTTTTAAATTTTAATAATACATACTAAATATTTTAAAAGATCATTTTCTTCTTGTTGCATAGTTTCAAATACTAATTGATGTATAGATAAAGATGATAATGTTGTTGTTGTTATTTTTTGTTGATCCAATTTTTGATTAATATATGTTACAATATAATCAAGTTTAGAACGAAATGTTTCAATTTCATGTTGTAATTCAATATTTTGTTCCATAAATTTTTTTGATAATTCTTCAGCTTCTAATAAAATATAGAATTGAATTAATTAATTAATTATTTCTATTCTCTATGAAAAGTTTCAAAATACAAAAAAAAAATTAGTCTTTCTCATATTTAAGAAAATGATAAATTAATATTATTATATTTGTTAGAATATATCTGAGAATAAAAGTGAATGTTTTATCTCAAAAGTATACAAGTCAACATATATTTATCAGTATTTTAGTATCATTAGAAGATAATAAGAATGAAGCAAAGATCTTCTATAGAGAATTTTTTACTATAATTTTGATATCAAATATCAATTTTTTTCTAGGAATGATAAATTTACATTTAAAAAAAAAAGAATTGCTAAAATTAGAAGTAACTTAACAGGAAAAAGGGAATTACGATATTGAATTACAAGCCTAACGTAAGAATGCAATATTCTCCGTTTAATAATGATCTTTAATTTTGACCGAGAATTTTTTTTTCTTCTCTTCTTATGTCCATCATCAAAACTATAGTTGGTATATCTTATTGTTTAACCTCAGACGAATCCGTACAACTAATTATAATAATAGTTGAGAAGTTCGATATACGATAGTTTTTACTAAAGATATATCTTCTTTGTTATTCGATAAACAACAATAAAAAGTATACAATAGAAGAAACCATCAACTACGACATTATTATTATTACATGTAACTAATGTCCATTTCAGAGTTAAATGGACGTGAGCATTTTTTGAATAACTTTTGATAGGAACGAGTTAGAGATCTTCGGTTTTCACCGTTGGAAAGAGCAGATGAAGACGCATCGAATTATATATATAGAAAGATTTTTCTAACTACTTTCCTATAGGTTTTATATAAAACTTCAAGAAAAACAGCATGCTTCTCATGGTCATGATATCAATTTATTGATTTTCAGGAGTGCTCTAGAATGGCCAACGGAAGAGCTACAAAACTATATCAAGACGCTGTTCCTAACTACAACCAGTATGATATGTAAACTATCGGAACACAATTTACCACCTCATTGTTTTTCAACAAAATAATCGAAAAATGTAAATTTTTGTCGTATTTTGATAGAAAAGTCACTTTTTTTAACATAGGAGAAAAAAGCAATTCTTTGAAAACTTTTGACTAAATCTATAGGAAAATAGTTAAAAAAATCTTTATAGTTCGATGCGACTTCATCTGTTCTTTCCAACGGTGAAAATCGGAGATTTCTATCTCGTTCCTATCAAAAGTTATTCAAAAAATGCCCACAGCCATTTAACTCTGAAATGGACATTAATAAATGTTGTACAGTTTTGACTCATATTTAACCTATTTTATTTCATTGCTTTATTCTTAAACAAAATTCTAAATACGGGAATTTAACTAACTGATGTATGGTCTTATGCAGAAGCATAAGTCTTACAGAAAAAAAAATTGTATTTTTATTTTGTGATTAATCTTAATGTTTATTATAACATTTACTTCAAGTCTGCAATAGATTTTTAGATTTAATCTTACTGTTAGTATATATGACTATAAGAAATCAAATATATAGATATTTTACATATTCCAATCAAAACTATAAACAATGAAATGAAAAAAGAGAAATTTTGTTTTTAATAATCATAAAAAAAGTTTACAAAATATATTTTGAAATGTAATGACAGAATCAAACAATAGTAAAAATCTCGAGTTCGAAATTAATCCGATGAGCTCTAATAAAGATTTTACTAATCGAAAAAAAAGCAAAATTCGATATCAAATTAGCCTTGTTTCTATTGTTATAATATGATTATATTTGAAGTTTGTTAACTGTAGAAAAAATTCTCCAATTAATTGAAATTACCTGGATCAATAGTAATCACAAGGTTAGTTTATTTTGTATAATGAGATATGTAAAAGTATACTTCATTCATACCTTGATTAAAATTTAGATTTAGATGAGACTTTGAATTTTTCATTATTATAACGTATACATAAAATATACTTATTCTTATTCTTATTCTCAATTACATATAGAATCCATTTTGTTGAATAGTAAATAGGTTTCATAGGAAAGCAAAAAAAAAAATATGACCATTAGATTTTTTTTTCTACAAATAAAATATTTGATGTCTATTATTTTAACTTTTAGAATATAATCAAATTTATTTATTTATTTACTTGATGAATAATATTCATCATTAATATGATTATTTATTTGAGTTGATCGTGTATATGTTTGATCAATAATATGTATAAGTCGATTAATATGTTCATTTTTTTCTTCAACTATTTTATCTAATTGTCGTTTAAATTCATTTTCAAGAAAATGATTTCGATTTTCAAGTATAAGATTTTTTTCTTGAAGATAATATACATCACGATGAGCATAATTTAGTTTTTCACGTATTTGCTAAATAAAAACAAAAAAAAACAATTCAAATGTAATCGATCTCTAGATCAAAAAGAAAAAAACTATCAACAAGATACTTATTACATATAAATAGAATAGCCGGGCTGGGAAAGATATCTTACAAGTGTTTAAAGAATGCAATAACAATATGTAGAAATTAAATCTCATTCCCATACACATACTTCAGAATAACAGTACAAAAAAATATATATATATATATATTTCGAATACATAAAAACATATTAGTTATAATACTTTTTTTTTGTTTAAGAAAATATGAATATGTTCTATGTAGCAGAAAAAAATCTAAATCATATTTTGAATAAACAATAGTTAAATATGTATTAACAGAATTTTTTTGTAAATATTGAATAAATTATTGTGAATATAAATTATACAAACTTTTAATCCTTCAGAATAATCTTTATCATCTATATTAAGATCTTGTAATAAATATCTAAAACGTTGTAAAATTGCAATCATTGTTTGTCCTTTTAACCATAATTTCATAATTATTTCACGTTCTTGTCCTTCATGTAAATGATAATCACGTTCAATGGCATTCATAACATCTTGATAAGAAAGAAGATTCTATAACAATAATATTTAAAAGTACATAATTTATAACAAGAAAAAAAATTCTATTATTTTCAAATGACTTTATACTTTTAAATTAATAGATGCAGCAACCGCAACAACTTGACTTGTTTCTAATGAACAATTTAATCGTGAATCTTGATTCGATTGAGATAAAATTGGATTTTGTTGAATAATATTTTCCATTGTATTTGTATTTTTTTTTAAATTTATTCTTAATTCTTCATGATATTCATTTATAATCTATTATATAAGAATCATAATAATAATAATAATTTTCTATTTCTTAATAAATAAATTTTTATACTTCTTGTGATGATGAATGTTGATTGGTAATAAGTTTTTCTTCGATCCAGTTATTCTATCTGTTTGTTTGATTAATTTAATATTATGATCATGATTATTCAAAACCTCAAAGAAAACAAATATAAACCAACCTTGACAATCACGAACATCTTACTTCATTCATTTTTCCTTTTTTTTTTTTTTCCTCTCTTTCTCTCGTCTTTTCTCTTGATAAATAAATCAAAACAACAAAAGAAATGATGTATGTATATGCAAACAAAAATTGAAACATACAGACAAGAAAAAAGAAAGAATTTGAAAGAAATAAAAATTTATATACCTTTTGTTGTTGTTGTTATTCGTTTGAATAATTTTTAATATATTGAAACTAAAATGAAGCAAATTATTGTATAATTAATGTTCAGAAAAACACTTTAGATCAATTCTCTATATTGGCTTCCTTCATACTAAAACATCAATGAGAGAATTGTCAGTCGATACAAAACACTCCCTTTTTTTTTATTGTATAGCCTTATATTTTCTCCTTCAGACTAATAATTTAGAAAAAGAAATCAACAAGACGCAACAATATTATTATTTGTCCATTTAGAGACATACTCTATAAAGAAGAAGAAAAATGACAATATATATATACATATTCAAATGAAAGGTTGCTGTTCGATATATCGACATGAAGTAGATGATAAGAAAAAACAACAATATAACATAAGAATAAAAATAATATGCAGACACTTAGAAATGAAAGCGTTTAACGCCCCCCCCCCCCCCCCTCCCCCTCAAAAACCGATCTCATCGCATTTACGTTCAAATGGGCTGAAATTTGGAGCATATGTTGGGACTGAAGTGAGGAGGCTATGGTAAAATTTTCAGCTCGATTTACTGACGTTTGACGGAGACATGAACCAAACAAGGGTCAAAAAATAGGTCATCTTAGCACCAAAAAATCTCCATGGCCCTTCATTACATATACAATTTTTTTTTTCTTTGAAAGCTTGTCTCTAGGGCTAGCCGGGTGTGGGTGTGGGTGTGGGTGGGTGTGGGTGTATGTATGTAGAAGCGTATCTCTTCTTGCACATACTCACACCCACACCCACACCCACACCCACACCCACCCACACCCACACCCTAGATTAATGCTGATGCTTGAATAGATAAAAATGGAAATTTTGGTTTAAAAGTTCTTGTTGCTGTTAAACTTTTTATAATTGCTGTTGCTATTGGTTGTTCTAAATAACCTAGACATGGTAAATTAAGTAAATCAATTGGAGTTTTTGGTCGAGAAAGCTTATTTGGTAATCGAATATTCCAATATTTTTCTGATTGTCTAAGAGAAGAGAAGGAAAAAAAGAATTTCACAACTAAATAAAAATAAAAGAAACCTCATAAATTTTTCACGTGCTTCTTCATTTAATAGAAAATATAATTTATCACGATATTCAACAGCAAATTCTTGTTGTCCAAGTACAAGACATTCGTATCTAAAAATGATAAAAATAAATTTGAAAAAGTTTTATAAAAAAAAGTGTTTACCTTTTACCACCATCAAGATAAGTTGCTGAACAATAACTAGCAAATTCAATAGGTTTAGGAAACATTGGTTTTGCTTCTGCTTCAGTTCGTCGATGTGCTCGACGATTTGGTGCTGGTAGTAATTTACGAGGTTCAAGTGGAGCAAAACGTTCAGGATCATCCAAAAATAGTTGAAGTTCTTTTGGTCCAGCCATACGATAATATCGTCCAAAAAAATAGGCACCAGGTTTTTTTCTAATTCAGATCAAAATCGGATTTCAATTTCGAGCTGGGATCAGAGTTGGAGCCGGTCCGGTTCGGCCGGTGATCGACCGGTTCCAAAAGTTTTTCAGACCGGTAGATACCGGCAAAAAACCGGTCGATTTCAAACGCTTTTTCAGACCGGTAAAAATCGGTCGGCTTGCCAAATCATTTTTAATCGGTTAAAGAAAATAGCTTTAAAACCATTCAGTTTCCTTTTTTTGCTTCTATTTTAGGACGCTTTAAGAGAAAATATCGTGTCATAGTCGTTTATCTTTTTAAGAGAGCGTCCACGAGAAAATCAAACATTTTTCAACATGGTCATACTCTCGAAAAATTTGAACCCTATATTTTATCATTGGAAATGAAAGAGCAAAGTGAGAAACCGATAAATCCAAAATTTTAGCTCATTCTGACTTACCGATGAAAAGTTATAAAGTACAAACTGAAAGCACCTTCAACAGGTTTGGAAAAAAAAAATTTTCTTTTTGAAAAATTTGGTAAGTTAGTATTTGGTCATTTTTTCCACAGTGAATTCTCAGAATCTTTTCGAGTAATATACCAACTGATAGAGCGAATTGCTCTCCACAAAACTGTATATGTCATCTTCTCCTCACCCTTCATTTTCTAGGTACAACAATGGCGAAACTATATTCAGCATAAACTTGCTGACATTATTCACCCAGTAAAAAATTTTAGGATTAAAATCGATTACAATCACAAAAACCTGTGGTCATAATCGAAATTAATAACCCGATTATTTTGCATCATAATCAAAATTATAATCGATTATTGTCCGATTGATAATCAACTCTAATCAATTAGAAAGCAGTATTAATCGATAGTTGTTGATTGCAAACGTGATTTTAACCGATTATAATTTCGATTTTGATGCTACAAATCAGGTTAGAGATTTCGATTAAGATCTCGATTATTTTACTTCGTAATCCAATATGAAATTTCGATTATCATCGATTATAACCGACCAGAAAGATTTTAATCAATTACAATGACTGATTCTCGTGAATTATTGTCTCCCCTTCCATGCAACGAACTCATGAAAACAATGGTTGCTTGTTCATGAGGAATTGACTTCATCTCTTATGTGCGACTGATCATCAATCGAGCTTTCAAAAGCTACCCTCTGGATAGAATTTGGAAATCTAATTGTAATAGCCTTCGCATGTCGACTCGTAGTTTACTTCTCAATTCTCCATTAGAGGAATGTTCATACTAAGCCTTGAGTTCGATCAGTTGAAACGGTAGTTAATAATGTCACACCATTTCTTTCTTCGAGATTTTAGTTTTACACCCTCTTCATGTAAAACAAATCGAATTTGTCAAGTTGTTTCGTTTCCAAATCAATTATTCTTTGGAGTTATCTTATGAGTTCGATAACTTCGTACTGTTTAGTAATCTTCTAGATGCTCTTGTTAATGTTGAAATCCTTGATCCTTTTCTCTCAATGAGCTTATTGAATAGGTCAATCAAAAACATCCCTTCTGATTCAGTAGAACTTATTTCTTCTTCAAACATTAAACTAGATTATTTCAACACTCGACATCTTTGAAGAACTTCAGCCTACAGAAAAACTAATCGTTGTAACTTTCGCCCCGAAAGCATTCAATCCTGAACTGAATCCGAGATGAAGCTATCGCAATTAGTTTTTTTCATAGCTTGAAGTTCTTCAAAGATATCACGTATCGAAATAATAGTTTAATGTTTGAAGAACAGTTATCTTTGAAATAATTTCGACAGTATAATCAGTTTGCCTCGCACTGATACGAAACTCTATTGAACCAGAAAGGATGTTTCATGATTGGCGTATTCAATAAGCTCATTGACAGGAAAGGATTAAGGATTTCAACATTAACAAGAGCATCTAGAAGATTACTAAAAAGTACAAAGTTATGAAACTCATAGAATAACTCCAAAGAGTAATTGAGTTGGATACGGAACAGTTTGACAAAGTCCATGAGTTTTCCATAAAGAGAATCTAGAACTAAAGACTTCAAGAAAGAAGTGGTGTGACATTATTACCGCTCATTTCAATTGATTGAACTCAAGACTTAGTTTTAACACTTCTCTAATGGAGGATTGAGAAGTAAACTACGAGTCAACATGCGAAGGCTATTACAGTTAGATTTCTCAAATTCTATTTTGAACGTAGCTTTTGAAAGATCGATTGACGATCAGTTGAACGTAAGAAGCGAAGTCAAATCATCATAGAAGTATTTATGAAGCTCAAAAGTAAATCGAACAGGCCACGATTGTTTTCATGAGTTCGACCGATGGAAGGGGAGAGAATAACTCACAAAAATCGGTCATTGTAAGTGATTAAAATCTTTCTGATCGGTTATAATCGAAATTTCATATTGGATTATGAAGTAAAATAATCGAGATTTTAATCGAAATCTCTAACCTGATTTGTAGCATCAAAATCAAAATTATAATCGGTTAAAATCACGTTTGAAATCAACAACTATCGATTAATACTGGTTTCTAATTGATTAGAGTTGATTATCAATCGGATTATAATCAGTTATAATTTCGATTATGACCACAGGTTTGTGTGATTGTAATCGATTTTAATCCTAAAATTTTTCACTGGGTGAATAATGTCAGCAAGTTTAATAGCTATAAATGTAGACCGACATTTAGTAAAATAAGCTGCAGATAAAATAATTGTTGTAATTTTACTAGTACAAGATTAAAAAGTTGATCAAATGGGTGTATAATAGTATTTGATTTTGTAGAGTTCATTCGTTGAAAGCAATTCAAAACAAAATAAAGCAAATTACTAAATTATATAGCATTTGAGAACGTCTTAAAAACGCAATTCATTTACTTTAGCAAACTATGAATTGAATATGAAGTATCTATATTGTACTGCACATATTCTGAAAAAAAGAATCACTAACCCATATGATATAAGTGGGTTTCAAAATTTTTGAATAACCTATCTTATGAGTTTTTCAATGGTGAAAAATAAATCTCAATTCGGTTCCTAGTTGGAAGAAAAGTCAGAGGTAGCATATACATAAATGGTGCATAAAAATAATGATAAATATGGTTTTCAAGATAGTAGTTGAATATTTTTTGTGGCTTGGATGAACATCATGTGCTACTTTGATTTCAAGAATTTAATATTCATTTGATAGCTCTTTCTTTGCTGTATTCAAAACCATAAAACATTTCTGGGACCATTAGAATTAGCATAGAAATATAGATTGCAATGAAAAAGAGAACAAGAGAAAAATGCGAAAAAAGCAGTAGGGTTGATCTAGTTTCGCGATTGTTTTACCTAGAAAATGAAGGGTGATGCGAAGATGACATATGCAGTTTTGTAGAGAGCAATTCGCTCTATCAGTTGGTATATTACTCGAAAAGATT